GTTAAAAGAAGAAAATTTGGTAAGTTTGCCTCTTAACAGCAAGGCGTCATCCTCGGAGACCCAGGGGCAGATAAAGGGGGCGAGGGAAAGTCTAAACGGGCGGAAAAATATATATGTAACGAAGAAAAGTAAAGAACGGCGAGAAGAGTCCCTGGGGACAATGTCTTACCAGACCAGTTCTAAACGGTCGCCGCCGTTCTGGCTTCTGATTGGTGCCAGAAAAACACAAGATTGGTGCCAGACCAATCAGAAGCCAGACCGGCGGCGACCGTTTGGAACTGGTCTGGTAAGACATTGTCCCCTGGGGCTCTTCTCGCTTTTCTTTACGTTTCTTCGTTCCATATATATTTTCCCGCCCGTTTAGACTTTCCGTCGTCCCCACTATCTGCCCCTGGGTCTCCGAGGATGGCGCGGCGTGTGACCTGACCCCTGAGAGACTGACGTGCTAGACTAGACTCACTTTATATCAAAACTCGCACTACACGTGCGTGGAAAGGGTTTTGGTTGGTTTGTTTTTCGCGCTTTCAAGAGTTATTTTTATTGGAGTTAATTAGCTGTTGGGTCGAAATACCAAAAGGCTGAACGAATGTAGTTTACTTTTCAGTGAAAATTTGCGGAGAATTGCGAACTACCAAAATGTTAAAAAAAAACATGGACATCTGGTGCATAAATGCCTGAGATAATTAAACGCGCTAGATGGAAGCAACCACAAGTCTGCGGAACCGATTATAAATGTGATTAAAATATGCGGTATCGGTATTTAGACGATTTTCGAAGCGGTATTTCGGTATTTGACATTTTTTCTTACGGTATTGCGGTATTGGGTACCCCCCAATATCCCCCTCAGACTGGCTGACTTAAAAAGTAGCTTTTATCTGTTAATTTTTTCAGCTAAAAAAAACAGTCAGCACAATCACATTTAACTTCTTGCAAGATTAAGGGAGATCTCCGAGGTTACTCCTGTTGGCGTAGAAGGTAAAAAGTTTTCGAAAAGACGGCGACACGATGTTCTACTAGTTTTATTATTTTGGCTAGGCGCGCTCGAATTTAAAATACTGAAATTTCTATTTTTCTGTTGCCTTTATATTTTCCTCGGTAATTTTCCCCGATTTTCAGTACATAAATCTTTAAAAACAAAAGCAGACAGCCAACGAGCGAGGACACCAGTGTTCCTGGTTTATATTTTACAAAAAGCGAAGGCAAACAACCAGTCTGTTACCTTAAGCCATCAGCTTTTATAATAATGCCTACAAAAAGTCCTTGAACAGCGATGCGATATTTTTCGTCTAATACTTCACAGGTGGTGATTGAGGTTTCTTTCGCAGTGAGCCTCCGCTTGCGTACCCCGTTCAGAGAAGTAATTCCCGGCTAAACTTTCAGATGAAACAAGTTTTAAGATGCACAGTATTTTGATTTGCACCCGTTTGTTGGTAAATCAAAAGGCACCTTGTTAGCGGTCAACAACTTGCAGAGGGATTCAACTCCGCGATACACTCACTTTCCGTAAATAAAGTAAATCCTGAGAAGATATGAACAACCATATGAATTTTCTGAATTTCCATGGCACATATTAAGGCATATTTTCCTACCATAAGACCATAAAACAATAAAAAAGACAGCAAAATCGATCCTCTCTCCGCCGATGGCGAATCATTTACGAAAACAACCACGCGAGGAATAAGCGCTTTCAACTTCCGGCGTTTCCGACAGACAATCAGATCTTGTGCATTGTTCTAACAGCCAATCAGCGTTACGGCCAAAATCTGGCCGTAACGAGCACAAACGTGACAAAGTTTGTATCAGGCCCAATTTTAGCAGTAGCCGTTAGAGAGAATGTATGAGAACCGCTAAAATTGGGCCTGATCTCAGGTTACTTGTGCCCTGAATACAGTACCCTGCTAGCACAGTCGCTTCCATCTTTCCTACATACGTCGGGAAAGAGGAAGCGACTCTGCCAACATCTTCAAGTTCCTTTGATCTGCCGATAATCCAGCTTTTTGGATGAGTCAGACAAGTTTTATACTGGATAAACCAGTTTTATCTGTGCACGCACGCATATTCTAGAATTTTGCTGACTCTTTCTGCGCCCACGCTCCATAGAAAATAGCTGCCGCTTCAATTTCATGCGGGAATTTTGAGAAAATTATAGATTGAACGTTCAGTTTTAGAAAATTGGAAAATGTACCCAGATTCGAGATGGATTTTTTTTTGGATTTGTACTTAGCCGATTTTACTGCGTGAACAGATTCACAATCCAGTAAGTGTTACGCGAAGTTTTTGGAAGGATAAACAGATGGGTTTTGAATAAAAAATATTTAAGACACTATGCTTATTCTTCTGTGTTTGCGACAACATTAATTCAAGATAAGATCATGAGGCTACAGAATCCATGTTGCATTTAAATGGTCGATGCTTTTACAGCTGTTTGTGGATAACACCCGACTTGCGATGCCAAAAACGTCCTTAATTTGGATTTTGTGTTTTTCTACGACGTCAATCAAAATCTGAAGAAGCGGCACTTTCTTCGCTTTCTCGCTTTTTATACATGTTAGCGAACCTCTTAGGAAACAAAAGGTCGTCGTTCGTGATTTGTGATTGGTGGATTTCGATCCGTTTTGTGTGTTTCTGTGTTTCAAGGTTAGATGCTTTGTTTTTGAAAAGCACCGTAAGTTTTACCTTAGCTCTAAGATTTTTTTATCTTCTTTACACTAAAAAATGGCAAGTTTGGAATTCCAAAGGTGAAGTTGTTCCTAGAGCTTCCAAATCCAGAGGAAACACAGCTACGGAAGGGTGAAATTGAATTTGGAGCATGCTCAATATGAATTGTTGAGGATGTCGGCAGAGGTTCCTTCCTCTTCCCGACTTATCTAGGAAGATCGAAGGAGAATCTGTTCGCAGGGTTTGAATACAGCTGAATACCCCTTGAATTTTGCGTTTGCGTTTGTTTTCAGTTGCTTGTTAAGGCTTTCTATTCTCACCGAAAAAGTGAGCTTATCTAAAAAATGAGAGAGTTCTCCTCTATTCTAAAACGGACAGACTCGCCGGCTTTTCGAGCCCGAGTCTGTCTGTTTTTTGTTGTTGTTGTTGTTGTTGTTGTTGTTGTTAATAAAAAAAGTTGTAAGTTGCTGTATTAACGGTTATATTTGTAATAAAAGATTGGATCATTGTTATTACTAGCGAAAAAGGTTATCGTTTGCTTTCCTATGTCTGTCCTCAGAGAAAATATTATACACCTTACGGTAAAATTTTCTTTGAAAGAAATTGTGAGGTATAAATGTAGAGGCTACACATAACTGTTCGTCCGGGTCCGTTTAAAAAAAAAAAGAAAATAAAATAAAATGTAATAGGCTTACGGGAAGACAAAAGTCCTTAAGTCGGCCTGATTTTTCTTTTGCGTCTTCCCTTAAACACAGAAACACCGACCCTAGAGATCGTAACCTGTAAATTGCTCCTACTTAAGAGACCTACAATTTAACAATTTTTTCAATTCAGGCTTTTTCGCGGGATATTTTTTCTTAATCGTTGAGCCCCTTCCTCTAAAGGTGTCTAATGCCGAAGGCTCTTAGGAATGTGAAGATTTCTTTTTTGGGGGGCTTAGAGTTCATTTTATTACCTTAATTTGATTGCTCTTATCATAAGTATAGAAACGGAGGCTTGGCTTTTAGCCCTGGCTAAATCTATATATTAGCGGGAGTTTATTTCAGTCAAACGTCTGTAATTTGTTTTTGCTGGTGATTTAGCTTAAGTGTCCGTTTTATCAGGGTGTCCGTTATAGCAGGGTGTCCGCAAGGCAAGAGTTGACTGTGCCTATTGTTTTTAGACACTAAAACAATGGCCATACTTGTAAATTACACTTGTAAACGTTTCATTAAATTGGTCCAAGAATTCACCCACACCACACTCCTTCTTTCTAAGAACATCGCTGATATTATCTTATAACAAAAAGCTGAGGACTCGTAGACTTGTTCACTCATATTGGCTTCAGCGTTGCTTCCCCGAGCCACTTATTCTGCAATAGTTTTGAGTAAAACATTTATACCGAAAGTTTGTCTTTTCTTGATAATATCTAGTTTGTCCAAAATGGTCCCCCATTATTACAAGATGGGCAAGATGAGACAGGCTGCCAAAAAGAGTGAAAAGCAAACTGCTAGTATAGTAGCTCTTGACAATTTTATCCGTCATCTAGCGTTTCAATCAGGCGAGAAAACAGTTCCTAATTTTTGCAAGTTTTAAATGAATTTGGGTTTATTTAATGAAATCGTAAACTTTATTTTTTTCAAAAAAAGTCATTGTCGAGTAAAGAATCTATTAGTAAAAATGTTACTGTAGATTGTTTAAAACGTGAAAATGTTCTCTCCCTTCTCAAGATATCGATCGAGGTTGTACAAATAATCATACAATCGTAATTTTTGTTTTAATTTCGTTTCAATCTACCGTCGACTGATTTAGCAAAATTAACGTATGATACGTAATTCCATGCAAGTTTTCTCCGTCAAGTAACATTATTCAACTGGAATAAAACAAAAAATGTGTTGTGACCAAGAGTATAAATGCAGTTACCTTGGTTTCTGGTGGTTTGTTGTCCTTAGCAGAGCCGCAAGCAGCCATGAGCGATAAAATCAGTACAAACAACATGGTGGGTAGTGTAATATCCAAGATCCTCTAACTTGGGTACTAACTGATTGATAATGAGATTAATTAAAAATGTAATAAACATTATGAACATTATACTTCATATTTAACATATAATGCCGTAAGAAAATGAACAGCTTGAATGCTATGGAATCTCGAAGATTAATTATATTTTTAGAAAAATTTTAAGAAAGGAAGCGACTTTTTAATTCCAAATTTTTTCTCTTTAACTTACCTTCGCTTCAGGATTGCCAAAACCAAATGATAACAATAATTATCGCGACAGGTTAATTTATCTCTCTTGCAATAATTACTCAACTTTTCTCGTTTTTAAACAAGTTTCCAAGAAACAGGGCTTTAATTAGGCATACTGTATTTCGCGGACTGGACTGGACTGGACTAGTAAAACGCGGACTAGTAAAACGCGGACTGGTAAAACGCGGACTAGTAAAACGCGGTCTGGTAAAACGCGGACTAGTGAAACGCGGACTAGTAAAACACGGACTGGTAAAACGCGGACTGGTAAAACGCAAAAAAAAAATGTTGGCTTTATTAACACATTCATCTACTATTCAAAGAACTTCTCAAGTGAAAATAAGAGGTATCATAACTCTTAAAATTAATGTATAAAATACAAATAAATCTACAAATAAGGTGCATAATCTAATTTAGCGTCATTGTTATAAGTATCATATAACATTGTTGAGTAATAGTTGTATCTAGAAATGAACGTGATTGTATTGTAGGTGTTTAAGGACGGTGCCCACTATTGTTACTGCGCACATTTTCTGCGCATGCCAAGGTAGTCGCGCGCGACGCGAAAGAAATGCGCAACACGCAGGACACGTGGACTGGTTTTGTCTCCTGTAAGTCTGGGAAGTTCGAGTTATTTCTTGAGGAAAAGATGCGTCGTTTTTTAACAGATGAAAAATAATTTCTATTTACCTTGTCAGTTGTTTGAAAACCGAAGAAGTATGCGCATGTTGCTATTTCTACGTATGATCGATCTGACCGAACATTTTATAGTCAAACAAAAGTCAGTTCTAAAATATCAAAAGTTATTGCTTCAACAGTTACGCTTAGAGCTTGGGTATTAAAAAATCCCTTAATAGGCAAGGATCAGTAAATTAGAAGGAAAATAGCTCTAAGTCCTCCGCTTAATCGAGAAACTGCAAGCTTACCTTTCACTCGCGTCCTTCGCCTTTTATTGGCTAATCGGCTATAAACAGTTTCCCAAATATTTCTTTTATTTTTTTAACATTTTATGTAATTATTCACCAGAAGATAGATTTAAAGAGTTCGAGTACATACAGATTCCCCTTTTATTGAGAGTCCGAGGCTTTTATTTGTTGAACAAACAAGAAAAAAAACTATCACAAGATTGTTTGGATTGCTGAGATCACAGCTTCACAATTAGTTGCGGACCGCAAAGGAAACGCTTTCATCGTGGAAAAAGTGATAAAAGAATTGTTATGTTTAATTTTTACTTTAATCATAACTATAACAAAATTTTCAAATCTGATTGGTTATCAACTGCCCTGATTCCAGCCTTAATTGGACAGTCAGTACGCGTCATGCCTAAGTAATTGGACAGTACGCGGCATCAAGCGCGCGCTTAAATGACTTCTTTTTTTTTTTCACTGCTAGCAAAACAAAATTTCGAATTTCTTTTGTTTTGATTTAAAAAATAGCCTATTATATCACAAATTTTGTTAAAGTTATGATTAATTGGTAACAGAACTTCGTGTCGTCCAATTCGGTCTGTAATCATACTCGTGATTAAACAAATCGGACTCCCGCTACGCGCTCGTCCGATTTTGTGATCACTCGTATGATTACAGACCGAATTGGACTCCACTCAGTCCTGTTACCATTGCTTATCATTGTTATTTAAGACGTATAAAAAGCAGTTGTTATGTTATAATTTGTTACTTATGTTGAAACCTTGTTACAATTATCATTGCATTTGTGCCAGTTCAAGTGTACACGCTGAAATTTGGGGAAAAAATAACTTTTTATCATTTTTCTAAAAAATGCCTATTCAGCGTTTTTCTCCATATTGAGGCGCAGTTATCTCTGAAAAATGCGTGGTTACCCCCAGTTTTCTTTTTGGATTTCAATAGCCCCTGATATGATCTACTTGTCTCACATAGTCATTATCTGGGAAAAAATACTTCCCATTAGTGGGCACCGTCCTTAATAGCAATTAAAACTGCATAACTTTGGAGACTCGAGCCGACAATTTTCGTTTTGTAACGAAACTGAGTTAACACTTTTTAACTAAACTAACAATCCCAGATGCTACATACATCTCTGAACTGTTCAACGACGTCAATAACAATAAAAAAAGGTTATCTTGAAAAAAAGGTATCATAACTCCTAACAGTAAAGTATGCAATACAATTAAATAAATCTACAAATAAGATTCATAATCGAATTTAGCGTCATTGTAATCTGTATCATATAATATTGTAAAGTAACAATCCCAGATTCTACAGTTCGACGTCGTCAATAACAATAAAAAAGTCTTAGTTTTCAATGTCTGATGCTTTCAAATAGTCGGGACATGATATGGTAACATGATCGTAACAGACCACAGTCTAACTAGGACCTTACAGCAAGCCTTTGTACCATCATCTGTTTGTGTTCTTGGAGACGAAACGGTTGGAGATCGGCTGGTATTTGGCATAAATTTAGCTCGAAGGAAGGAAAGGTCACCCTGATGCATAATGGGTTGACATGGTAGTACACATTTGAAATATCTGGTGACGTTTGTTGCTGACCTGCCTTGTAATATTGTCGGTGAAGTCTTGTAGTTAGCACAAGGTCATCAGGCGGATCGGGTATGGTACCGTCTGGCTTCAAGGAGTAGCCACAGCCATAACATCGTGTAACCTTGCTGTCCAGAAACGCAAGTTTGGCAAAAACTAAGATTCCTGGTGTAGGCTTTGGACGCTGAGGGTACGTGGGTGGTGTGTTTTCTTTGACTTGCTGGCGTTCATGTTGTTGACAAGGATAATTATAGATGAGATGCGATGATTCTGGGACGTTGAAACCATGACTAGGCAAAATAAGTGACCGTCACGTACGTTTAGCTTAATACAATTTTACTCCGGGGCATCTAGTTTTGAAGCTAGAAAAAATAAGGTTTTGTACTTTTTGCTGCGAATTGTTCCTTTATCAGAATGTTTATAAACGTATTGAAGGGAACAAGGTACTCATTGGACACGTTGCGTGACAGAAAGCAGGCGATCCGAAAATAAAACTATTATTATTATTATTATTATTATTAGTCAACTGGCTGCTTAAAGATTTGATGAAACACAATTACAATTATGAACTGGTGATAAATAAATTTCTTCGCGGCCAAAACATTTTAAATTGTCTGTAACTGGCGCATATAAACCCCTTTTGTAGCTAAAAGGTCAAACAGGGGTCATTACGATCGCTAAACCGTCGGAATAAAACAGACTAAAAATAAATGAACAGAATTTCTAAACGTAAATTAGTTTTTGTAAAAGTCTGTTCACCGTTCAGTTTTATCCGATTTACAAATGCGGAAAAAATCTATTAAAAAAAAAAAGACGTCCGCAGGAGCCTATCCTGAGTCCGCGTTTTACCAGCCTGCCTTTTACTAGTCCGCGTTTTACCAGTCCGCGTTTTACTAGTCTGCATTTTACCAGTCCGCGTTTTACTAGTCCGCGTTTTACCAGTCCAAGTTTTACTAGTCCAAGTTTTACTAGTCCAGTCCAGTCCAGTCCAGTCCAGTCCGCGAAATACAGTATGCCCTTTAATTACGTTTGACGCGTAAAGGACGTTGAGCATTTTGACTGGTTCTTTTGCGTTACCACGAAGAGATTCGTGTTTTGTGTTTTTCAGTAACCGAGTTCCTGTGCAGATCCTGCTTTTCTTCCATGGTCGAGAGCCTACCAGCCACAACATCATTTATTATATTTATTATAATTTTATTACGTGCAGGATCTATCCCTCAGTATAGCTAAATTTTGTGCTAAAACCGCCGGGCGATCTGTTCATTCCGCGGTATCGTAGCTTTACGAGGATGGCCGTCAGCTCATCACCTTTTTGTGTAGTAGGAAAAAAGTAAACTGAAAAGTAAACTGCAGGACTGAGTCTTAGGATAATTTAAACGCTTTCGTCGTTTAAATTAGGGTTTTTCTCAACTTTCTTCATTCTTTTCTCTATCCAGAATAAAGCACAGAATTTACCCACAACCAAATTCGAAAATTTCTCTTTGCGAAAGTGAACACAACAGTATATCCAAATAGGACATTTCGAAGTCGTTTTATATTATATTTTTTGGTGTTCGATAAAGAAGCTAAACGTGAATCAGGTTTTGTACTAATCATTGGACACTGAAAATTCTTCCTTTTTTACCTTGGTAAATGATTACTTAGTGCTAATCGACATTATACCTTAAATCGTTCTGTGTATTGAAGAGTCACATTCCTACTTCTTTGATCCGTGAACTTTGAATATGTTTGGGAAGCTGATCAGACTTTGCTATGGGTAAAGAGATGAGAGGACGTGTGGCGTTTATATGATTTGCCTTGTTTGCCATATGTTTTCATTCCTCAATTAGTGATCTGTCTTCATGAAAGAAACGAGAAGGAGGAAGAAACAGACCGAAACATTGTATCAAAAAGCATAATTTCAGAAAATCGAGAACAAAAGAAAACAGAAACAGCTTTGTACGTAACAACACTCAGCTAGTGAGTGAATCACCGAATTTCCTTGTTTGAATAAGTTTCTCGTCGAAACTTGCTCACGAAGCCTACGTGTGTACTATCATTTTTCTTCAACAATTTCATTCGCTTACGGAAATTGGTTGCTATGTGGTCGATGCGCCCAATGAAAAGCTTCATTGCATGATATCATAGTTTGAACTACGCATTTGTTCCTGGAGTTAAACTAAATCATTGTAATTACATGTAACAGATCACAACTTTTTCTTAAAATAAACTGATCCAAGGTACAACTGTATAACTGAAAGGAGAGTTGCAATCTGTGATATCGAGGGATGACAATTACTTAGGGAAATTATTTCCCTAAATTAAATTCGAATTGAAAGAGTGGTAACCTTGATTATCCCTATAATTTCAAGCTCTCTTCCCATCTTAGTGGCCTTGTCCTTTCATGACCTTTCCAATTCCAACCAAGAAAATCTCAGTGTAACCAGTTAATTTCAGTGATTTCTCACAGTCGCTTGGTTATTCACAATCTATGGCGTGGGGTGATTTTCACGCGCGCTCCAGTTTCGCTCGCTCTACTATCCCTGAGGACAAATGGGGGACTACTCGTAGTCTACGATACCGCGGTAGTCTCGATGTTTCCAAAGTGTCCAATTTAGCTTAAGTCGTAAACCTCTGCTATCTATGGGTACATCTAGTAAACAAAAATTAAACATATTTTTGAGAAGAATTATCCACTAACTAGAGTAGATTTGCCTGCTACTATAATAGCGGAGCTCCACGCGCGCGCTTCGCGCGCGCGTGGGCGGAGCCCCATAGCGAAGGAAATCTACCCATTCCAGAAAATTTGGTAATCACGTGACCGACCGTCCGTCCGCACCACAGGTATACCAATGTTTACTCTCACACTTTCTAGCTACTTTGGGAGCCCAGGAGAAAGCTGATTGCAGATCAATGTTGTCATCAATTGACAGCTGTCAAAACAGGATATACGCTGACCACTATTACCTGACCGAACCGCGGGCTCAGATGTCGACCCATCAAGGTCGAGTATTTTTTGAAGTTATCCTTTGACAATTTACTCGTTTTCAAATGATCGCAGGCTCACGTTTATTTTTGTTTTAAATTCACAACAAATATGTTGTGTTTATGTCAGTATCGCCCCGCACTATTACGATTTTGATTTCAAACTGACCTCAGACGCAAAAATTCAGCCAGTTTTTTTAAAATACAGGCGGGGAAGACCTTTTCTTACCATGGTCACGTGTTGGTCACGCTCCACGTCCAATTTTTATGCTCTGATTGGTTAAAATTTGACAGGTGAGTTCATGCGTAAAATTTATGCAGCATCTTGAAAGTTGTTTACTTTGACAGCTAAAGCTGACAGAGTTTTGAGTCAGCTTGTGATGTTTTTAACTGTCTTTTTCCACTGGATGTACAAAATGAAATACAGCTGCTATCAGGAGTGTTCTCTTATTCATGGCTGGTTTGTTTATTGGGTTTTTGGTTGAAACATGCGTCGCTTGTCAAAGCCGATAATCCGATTTCGGATGGCATCGTTTTGGTTTTTCACCTTGCTGGATGCGTACGAGAATTATAAAGGCTCAAGCGATCCTT